AGAAGAAGGGTCTAGGCCTGAAACATCAGCCTTCCTGCTCCTCTGATGCTGCTTGGCCTGCTGTGTTCATCCAGCTCTACACCTTGTTTTCTCTTATAGGAAAAATAGCAGTGGTTTCTGGAGCAAGTCATCTCAGACTCTGACCATCTGGGTTCGAAATTTCATAGCTTTATTATATCTACAAGCTGGGTTATGTGACCTACCACTGCAAGTATTGTACAGTGGAGGTCTCCAAACAACATGTCTCATACAAATGTAAATACCATCTGGAAATCCAACAGGCAATGCCCATAGATACCATACTAGCAACATTCTCAAAAAATTTAAGTTTGTTATCACACACGATGACTTTCTAATCGACTCATACTTTCCTGAATACTCAGCCGTTCCCTCCCTCAACTGCTGTTAATTCTAAAACTCCCTCTTTGTCACCACCTAATTATCTAACAATTGGACAATGATGTAGATTACATACCAATATGCATGAACTACAATTAGTCTATGAGATCATGTTAGGCACCAACATCTTCAATCAAGTTGCTGCAACCAGCAGTGTGATACATGGTTAGCTCACACATACACAGACAATTTAAGACCAGTTTTGTACATCCGCGCTTGGGTGTCCCTAAAGAAGGAGCATGTGGTGGGCACCGCTGGTGTAGAATGCTTCATTTCTCCCACAATCTCTACTTTGATTTGATCCCTACCCTCCTCCTCACTTTTTCTTTCACATAGGCATTGCCCCTACAGCGGCTCTACTTGATACTGATGCTTTGGTCAGAAAAGTGATTTTTCTGGTTAATAAAGTTATTTGCACACCCGGTGTTTTTTACTGTGTCTCATGCCTGTACATGCACAACAAGGGTGCTAGGGAAGATAAGCACTACTGCTGAGTGGCAGTAGTGCAGGGGAACAAAAAGAAAAGATCAGTTTTACCAGAGGTGTCACTAAGGGATTTAGAATTTTCCTCACATGAAAAATATTTAGTCTTTCTCTTTGTCCCAGCAGAGGGCTAGGAGTACTTGGATACAGTTTTACAGACATGATGGACTGAATGGTCTCCTCCTGCATTACACAATAATAAAATGTGAGTGAGAAGTGGAAATTGCACATATGAATATCAGGCAGCCAAGAGAAGATTTACTCTGATTTATTTTGGATGTTACCATGAGAAATGGAGTAATCAAAATATAGTCAGGTTAAAACTCATTAGTTGAGAAATAAAGATATGTGACAACCCTGAAGGCAACTGGCTTGAACAAATTATTCAAGCCGGCAAAGTAGTGTACACAAATAATTCAATATCATTTGATTCTGTTCACTCCCTTTCTGGTCAGGGATCCTCCTAATTATAGGATGGATAGAATACTTTTCATATCAAAATGTCTCCAGGTACTTTAGATAATGCATGCCAAGGAATTCAATAACTTAGCTCATTTAAGCAACCAAAAAGCAATTATCACAAGACGGAACATGTGGCCAGCCACCTACAAACTGATGGCATTAGCCAAGGGAGGAATATTATCCTACTGAAAATGCTGTTCAATTTGGTACCATGGGACTTTTGATATCCAAACTAAGCATAAGAATAGACAACAGCCTGGACAGCAATTTAACCTTTGCATCAAATGATGGCACAATGATAATGCTCCCAGAACAGGTAGAAAATAAATTTAAAAAGCTGATAATAATTCTGGCCTTCCTACATGTAAAAAAAAAGTAATACTGCTGAAGATAACACACATTTTTATTCCAATTGCACTGCATTAACCATTGCATTATTAGGATTACTTAAACAGCCAAATATGATGATCTGGAATACTGTATACGTCCTAAAGGGGCAGTGGAGAGACATCCAATCATAACTTGCAAGGGGAAATGGATATTATTTGAAAAGAAAGGAAGATTGCAGGGCAAAGGCTAAACAGCAGGGGGAGTGGGATTTATTGGAGTCCTCTTCTGAGGAGTTACAATGGGCCAAACAGCCTCCTTCCATGCTGTATGGTGATCAGTACATGGGCAGCCAACTGGCGTAACACTGCTGACTTGCTTCATATTAATTAAAGCAGAACCAGAATGTACAAGATCCTTTATATTCATTTAACTCCACCTCCTAATAATTCAACTCCACTGTTCTTGCACTGAAAGCAAGTAAGTTATCCAAAAATATTTGAAGAATGATTAAGATTTGGAGTGTGCTAACTGACATGGAGTTGGAAATAGATTCCATAGTAGCCTTTATAACAACCTTAGATAAAGTCTCGAATGAGAAAAAAAAATCAGGTCCATGGGGAAAGAAAAAGAACGGAGTGGGATTAACTGGATTGCTCTTCAAAATACTGGATGTAGATTGGTGGGCTGAATGGCCTCCTTTGGTGCAGTAAGATTGTATGATACAAACCACATGAAATAGAAACTTAATTGTTTTTTAGTTAATAAGAACACATGATTTATTCTGCCATGAAAGAAGAGGACCAAAACATGCTCAAAGTGTTCCTGCAACCCCCTGTCAGCAGCTGTCTACTATATGTCTGGAGTGAGAGATTTACTCTGTAATGCTCAACACTGTTGGGAACATAGAATTAGAATTCTATGTGAGAGGTTTCAGCGATCGAGAGAGAGCAAAACATCACAGAAAGTTACATGCTTGAGGAAAGCATAGAGTCAGTGATTGAAGCAGCGACCATGTCACTATTCAATAGAAAGTTGAAGAAGGTCTTAGTAAAAAGGGATTCAAGAACATGCAAGCATGTAAAATTAACACAAAAGGAGCAGCATCTACACCTCCCCGCCCCCAAAACACAGTTGGTTCAAATGGCTCATTTCCATGTTTCATTCCTATGTAATTTTCTAACACAAGGCCTCTGTGTTTTTTGGTGATGCAAAATACTTGCAACACAGCTGCAGCTGCAGAGTGTCTCCAAACCCACCACTCTAGATGGACCGATTAGTCTCATGTCAGGCTAGAATAGATGGGAGCATACCCATAAAGACTTCCAAAGTAATTGAAGTAAAAGTACAACCACCACTGCAATTTCTTCACTGTCCTATAAACGATGCATACATAATTTCTCCAGTCCATTCCTAGATTCCATGAAATTTATGGATGGCAAGAGCCTTGGAAATACTTGCCTTTAGGGAGACCTGACTCTCCTTTTACAATGAATCACAATATTATAAGTGCGGGTATGCCAAGTAATTAAAAGAAAAATGGTATGTTAGTTTTTGCTATGAAGAATTCAGAGTACAAGAGTAAACAATTCTCACTATAATTATACGTGGTGCTGATGAGAACATACCTGGAGACATATCTGTTTTGCTAGATGGATTTCAGGTTGAGGGGATTGTATTATAAAGAGGATTAAGTGGATAAGGCATGTTTTCCCTGGCATTTAGAAGAACGGGGGTCTTCGTGGGACCAGGTTTGCCCACTCCCAATTCATCTGCCATCACTGTCTGGTAAACACACAAGCAGTTTGATGGGTAGATCATGGGAGCATTCTCCTGGTGGGGAATCTAGACCATAAGGTCACAGTTTCAGGATAACGGGTTAGCCAGTTAGGTCTGAAACAAGGGAAAATATCTTCACTCAGAGGGTTTCAAATTTTGGAAATCTCTACCCTAGAAAACTGTAAATCATCAGTCTTGGAGTATACTCAGAGGACATTTGGGTACTAAGAACCAAATAGCCAATCCCAGCTCCTATTTCTTACACTCTGCTGCCCATAGGGGACGCAATCTGTTTATAGAACTGACCTGATGAATAGCAGCCCATCTCAATCCTCATCTCTAAAATCACCAGCACTACCTTTATCAGCTGCATAGTTGGTCAAGTTTAACTCGACAATCAGGAGAGAGTTATAAGATGCCATTAAGTCAATAGGATCTGTCCCCAAAAGCTTCCATCTCATTTGGATGCACAAGTTGCATAAACATCTTCTAGCAAATTAAATATGGATCATCCACGACCACATAAAATTGTTATTGATAAGCAATGTATTCACTCCAGAAGTGATGACTAAATCTTGCAGATAAATCACGCAAGATTCACTATATACCTCATCTAAAAATGAAATTTGTTCTTTTACCCAATAAAATTGGTAACTTGCATTCTATTTTGTTTTCAAACAATTTCAAGTAATCAGCCAGGCTAAAGTAATTACTTGCAGGAGAAAGTGAAAGAGGAAAGGAGCGAAACAAGTACTTGGAGTAGTAAATTCAAACACTGCATTGGCTTACAGGGCCAAACACAGAATGCTGGAGGAAACTCAGCAGATCTGGCAACATCTGTGGGGACAGAAGTAGAGTTAATGTTTTGAGTTTGGTATAAGACTTCAGAACTTTTCTGTGCTTTTATCAGCTTGCATGAGTTAGAAAGTCAAGAATGAATCACAAATTGCCTTATGACTTTCTTGCCATGAGAAGGCAAAATCTGTGATTACAGTTTATTTTCAGAATGTTGCAAAGCTTTCACATGATACCATGGAATTCACAGTAAATTTCACAAATTAACTTGGGAGTCAGTCAATTACATTTTATGAGGATAGAGAATCACAGGAGACCACGATATTTTTGCAGTGTCCAAAGTTGCATGTTTTAAAAGCCCATCCCAACCACCACTGCTGCAAATTGATCAATGCACCATAGATAGAAGTTGCTAGTTTTTGGATACAAAGACAATAAGAGAAAGATCCTGACAGGGAATTTCTCACGTAAGGCACGGCAAAAACCTGATGAGTTGCTTTAAGCTTTCTTTGTTGCTAAGAACACAGATCAATGGATCTGTGAATAAGTTTCCTCTTATTCTTTAAGCACAGTGTTAGTAAAATGACCGATTCGAACATTAATCATTGAGCAGCAAACATGTCTGTGATTTAACACTCACCTTCAGTGTATAATCCTTTTGCGGAGTTGAGATTTCAAATGTTCCTTCGTCTGCTTCCACACAATAATTGAAGGCAGCGTTGGACAGGTCTATTCTCCCTAACGGGCTATTGTCCTGGGTTGTTCGGAAGTAATACAGATGGCATGTCTTCTGGTCATACACAAACCAGCGGGTCTTGCAACCTTTCAGCGGTCCTTTGCCCCCCAGCTTGTTGAGGTAGCCGCACAGTTTTTTGCCCGGGTCCCTTGCTTCCGATTTCAGTTCTAAATAGTTCGCCAGATCATCGGGCTCGCTGAGTTCCACTGAAGCGCCGTTCTCAACCGCAACGCCACTTACTGCTTGGACACCCAGCTCTTCTGGCGACTTTGCTGTGGCACCAGGCTTACCCACTTCCAATTCATCTGCCATCATTGTCCGATAAACACACAATCCTACACTGCTGGGAGTGAAAATACAGATAATGGATAAACAAAAGTTAATTTGATGGCAAATTGGTTTATCCGCGCTTTTAAGAAATGGCATTAAACAAGAAACAAGTCTCAGAAGTTCCAATGTACACTACAGATTTAAGATTAAACATCCAGTACTCTTAATCCGAATGAACGAGGCCACAAAAGGTCGGTCATAAGAGTTTTATGTGATCTTTAGCTTTCACATAAGTAAATCTCAGTGATGAGTTGGTTATTTTAACACAATTCCAACACCTTAACCTACCCAAGTCCAGTTAATTTAAAGTATTCTCTTTACTCCCAGCTGTAGAACGGTATTTGTATGTCCCGTCTACAGTTCAACCTTTCCTGTCTTCTGGCTGCACCCACACTCATCATCGTTCACAACGCATTTTCCGATTCCCTGTCCCCACACCCAGATCTTTTCGCAGATTTAACATTGTAGCAGGGCATAGCGACACGCACTGGGCTGGCCGTCTCTGAGTTTCCTGGGAGGAGGTCGGTCACAGGCGCGTTGCCCATCCCCGCTGCTGAAACTTGCCCCTTGCTCCCTCTCCAATTTCCCGACCCAGGAAACTCCAAGTCACACGCGGTACCGCCAATTACTGCCACCCAACAACAACAAAAAAAAAATCACCTCGGGAAACCAGAAATTAGAAAAGTTACCGGGGTAACCGTGGAAAACACTCTGGTCGTGTTGCAGACGGCAAAACGTTGCATAACATCGAATTGCAAAACTTTCAATTCCAGAAATCAATTTTAAACAAGTTCAAACTAACCCCCGAACAACCTCCTGCTAATTTAAATGTTCAGATTCTTCGGGTTACTAAGGCATCTCATATACGTTGTAAATTCCTGAACGCGATAAATATAGTGTCAAAGTTGAAACCGATTTTAAAGAATGAATCCTGCAGTCTGAATGAGGGACAGAAAGGGAAGTGGAGCTGAGGACACTATCAGATCAGCTGCGATCTTAATGAATGACAGGCCAAACACGAGGGACAGATGACCTAGTGTTGGTTCTAATTCTTGTCGATAATGCTTATTTCTACATTTTCGTACCATCCATAACGTAGTGATAACGTTTGCTGGAGGAAGAAGACAAGTTTGAGTATGTTTCAATTTTAGTTGAACAAATAAAATGACCTGCGTTTTGTGTGTACAACAGCAGATGTTTAAACGCAAGATAAACGTCATAGTGTGAACATGGAGGCAGCAGGTACAAACAGCAATTTTGGCAGGCTGCACAAAGTAGCTGGATATTCTCTCTGGCTGAAGTCCAAACTATTGATTCAAAGTCTTACAGTTTAAGGAGTTGGCCATTTCTGTCTGACATAAGAAATTTCTTCCCTCAGAAGGTTGTGAATTATCAGAATGCTCTGCCTCAATGTGGGAAAGTAGAGGTTGAAAGATGTTTTAGAAACATAGCATGTAGAAGCCAGATGTATCAGGCCTCCAAATCTGCTCTGCCGTTCAATATGAATATGGCTGAATAACTTTGTTGAATGAGATCACTCAAGGGGCTGAATGGCCTACACCTGCTCCTATTTCTTATGGTAACAGCACAGTCATTTGAGTATTGTATTAATCCTATTGGCATCTGAACATAGTGCAGAGCTGGATGAACACAGCAGGCCAAGCAGCATCATAGGAGCAGAA